TCTTGGGATTTAGAAGGTGAGCACATTATCTACCATGTCACAGCTGAAAGTAATGTTAAGATTTAGTTTTAATGTCCAGATACAGGTAATGTTGGAAAATTACTATAATACTGAATTTTCTATACTGGGTGATTTACCTGGTGTACAGTATATTATTGCAAACATTTATCTTCAATTACTGTAGCTTTTAAACTGACCATTGACTCAGTTGCTTCTGTTAGAATCTGCAAGTTTTAAGATCATAGGTCAGGCAATTACTGTGCTGTCCTGCCACCTTGTCACAGTGGTGGTACCGTCTCTAGTCAGGTGGGGAAATTTCTCCTGCTGGACAAGTCTGAACCCCCTGTAGTCGGACGACAGTTAAGGTTTTCGGCCACATAAACATAAATTTCCAATCCAAAAGTACTGTATAGTGTACAGTAGGTGCTTTTTGTAGGTAATTTTTGAATGTTTTATCAGGTTGTGTTGAAATCAGGCATTTTATTTGTGTCCACTACATTGTACCTGGTGGAAGCCTCATTCTTTCAACACTGTACATTACAACACCTCATAAAGACTTGTTAGTCTAAAAGTGCTACTTAACATTCTTCATTTAATATTGACTACAGTAATGGCTGGTTATCAACATACTATAGAGTTGTAATGTATGTTAAATGGCCGAACGAGTCGAATTGCCGAGCATTTGAGGCATGGGGCGCCACAACCTACAGCCATAATATTTGAGCTTGTTCGAAGAGCAAGCTTCTGGTTATAGAACAAGTCTTCTCAGATAAGAACTCTAAACCATAGACCAAGTGTACATAATTAGCTTGTGTGCACTTTAAAGAACCCATTAGTTTATCCTTTGAGAAGAGTAGGAGTTACCCCTACTCTTCTGGTTCATTCAGCCCATGTCGTGGACGGACAAAAGTGTGCCTCTTGGCAGCTGCTTGAACATGTGACCATTTAATGGGAGAAGAAAGTTGTTAAATGAATTAGTCCACGTCTGTGCACAGTACAGGCAAATCTGCAAGCTGCAGGTTATCTTCTTACCTTACAGTACTGTATGTAGTATTACTATTTAAACTCAATAGAGATATTCCAAATTTATTTAAATACTCTTCAATGATGATACAGTAGTCTAGTATTCCCTACATGATGTCCCCTCTACCCTGTTTCTTGAGTCCCTCCCCTCTGTTCATTGAGTACCATAAAGCATTGCTTCTCTTTTCCCTAGTTTTTAATGTATCATAATGTAATGCACTGCTCCACCCCCTCCCCCCCCCAAGTTTCTATCATAATTCACATTCATTCCGTCTGTTTTATGTCGATGGAATTCCATTCATAGCATGTCACATGGTCATGCCAACATTTCATTGTCTATCTTGTACTTGATATCATACTGTTCTTTGGATCAAATTCCAACTGCAAATAGGTCTTTGATCAAATCAGTGTATCATGTTCTAAATAAAATTATTTTGTTTTCTTTATTTATTTTAATTTATTTTAAAAAAAATCTTCCACAATACCTGTAGCTGGTAAGTGGTGAAAGTGAAGATTGGAACATGGTTATTGTTTTGTACTTTTGTTAAATATCTTTATTTAATCGTGACAAAATGTTTTGAATGTCATTTTTTCTGTGATATTTTTATTGTTTCCAAGATGAATGTAAATCATAAATAAATAAATAAATAGAAAGACATTTTCTGTATGTAAGTTATTCAATAAAATCTTTTTTTTTATTTTATTTTTTTTTCCCCTGTGCACCCTGGAACAATTTTAAGTTGCATGGTTTGGGATTTTAGTATATGTTAGTGTTTAGAACAAGAGGTCCAACTGCCCTGATTTTGTATGTACGCAATGGAATGTTAAAAAATAGCACTGGCATGAGATATGGGGCCCTATTAGAAATCGAATAGAGTTTGTTCGAAACTCGTCTTTCAAGGGCACGTCCCTTCATGGCAGTACTTTTTGAAATAGGATTACGTTCCAACGAAACCACGAGTAACATCTCTTTCAGTTCTACACTCTTTGGTAACATGTTTTTGTGCTTCAGAGTGAGATTGTGAAAGTAGGTTGGTCATATGTTGTCCTAATCCTATTGGTAAATTTGATGTGCTATGGCAAACTGTAATGTAATGAAAAATAATTAATTTAGAGTATATTTAATTAGAAGTATAATTAATTTATGCCTGGCTCCCTTGTGTAATTATTATATAGATTACTGGTACTCACATTGCACTTGCTGCTGGTTGCCTGGAGTGGTAGACCAGGTTGATGTGTGATGCTGTAATTTATACTCATTTCTTTTGTCAACAATTCTACTAAGATTAATATATATTTGAAAGTGAAGTATGCATGACTGAAAACAAAGAATTAGAATGCATGCCAACTAGACAGAGAGTTAATGTATTGTACAAAGATAAACTAACATTAGCCGCTCGGATATGTTCTCCTTGGTTAAAGTATGGAGATTCCTTTCATAAATTAGATGATACATTGTTTTGGTATTCTATTATTTTAACTTACAATTGTTTCAAGATTATGACCTTCAAATCTCAGAATTAAGAGTTTATATTAAATTGATTTTTCCCAAAACAGAAAGCGTTAACTTTACTTTAATCATGCCCCTGTTCACTCCATCTTAAAAGCTTGTTTTACAGTTTTGATGTTTGCATTTGACTTCAGTTTTTTGGGGAAAACAGCAAGTTCTTTAATGTGAGAGGGGTAATAAGAGGAGTTCTACTGAAATTCAAAATTTAGGACATTCTGAGTTGTTAGTCCTGTTAACATTTAAAAACTAGAGGTGCACAGTAATTTGTGGCCTCCGCTGTTCTGCATGTTCCTACCTTCTCTCCACCTTTCTCCTTCCAGAAAACAATATTAAGGAATATAAGATTTAAAACAAAACTGAACAATCAGATTTACTGCAGCTTTACAATACCATAAACTTTAATTGAACTTTAGCCCCTTGAACTTTTCTCTTTTTTCCCCTAAATTTGTAAAGATTTTTAAGTTGTATTGTTAAGCCCACCATGGTGGAATTGCTCATGTTCAGGTTTTTATGAGATTATTTGGAAATGATGCAAATGAGATGCTAATGCTTAATGTTGCTCCAGATTTGAATATCTGTAACCTTGACTACAGTTGATGGTTCCCTGAGGAGACTCTAAAAGCTTTGTTACTATTAGCACAATTTGTAGTCTTCTGCAGTCCAGACTTGTTTGTTAAGAGAAAAAAAAAATCAATGTCTATGCTAGGCCTTGTTATCTAATTGACTGGTCACCACTTAAATTTAATATTTGTTATATTTCACAATAATTAGTATCTGCAGTACATTTAAAATGTTGTCTATTATTGATTGATTGATTGATTGATTGATTTGATTGAACATTGTTATAATTTTAGAATCATATTTTTCATTTGTGTCTAATTCTGTCAACATAATTACACAATTGTTCAGGGTAAACTTCAATATTGGAAGTTACTGTACCCAGAGTGGTACTGAAAATGGGACTTGTAGTTCAATAGCACCTTTTACTTTTACACACTTTTTAAAAATTTACCATTCATTGCCATGTTCCCCTTAATATTGTTAGTATAATAATCGCAGATCACAAAATATAAATATTATAAAAACTAACTGTAAAGTAGGCCTGTTATTTTGTTTGCTTTACAATTGAATGTTTTCAAAAAAGAGAAAAGTATGGACATCCTACTGTAAAAACTATTTTTAAAAATTGTTTACACAAAAACTATATTGCTATTATAATTTTGATTTATTCATTTGACATTGTCACTGACTGAGAGTCTCAAAAGCGAGATTCCCAAGGTCACCAGAATGTTGCATGGCTCCCTCTTTATTCAGTCAATCTTTGATGGTAGTTGTGGGAATTTGAGTCAACTTGGGAAACAAAAACCAAGACTCCTTACAGTCAAGAATGCCTTGGGGTTGCAACCACATTTTCAAACTATAAGCAGGTGACAAGAATACTATTGAGACCACAATGTACATAGAGTAGGCCTACAACAAACAGCAGTAAACCAAGTAAGAACTACACAATCATTGTGGAAGAGGAGCTGGTTATAGGCTCTGTACAGTACTTAATTATTTCCTAAGTAGGCATTTATATAGATTGTCATTATCACTTAAGTTTGTCTTTAGGCTCCAGAGTGTAGGCTATTATAGGTGTGAAATGAAGATTCTCAAACCAATTGGATTACTTTAACTAGAACCTAGCTTTTGTTATTAGTTGAGGCCTCGTAACTCAGTGAGCAAACAACTAGAGTTGTTCTAAGGTTTGGATCCTAATGTAAATAATAGTAAAAATATATGTTTATATAAAAAAAATCATAATAAATAATATAATAATGTAATAATAATGTATATTACTACTGCTGAGCTGACTTACAACATATTTCACAATACATGTTTAATTTGACACAAAGTACAAAAATTATTTTGCATACAAATACAAGTACACATAGCCTTGTACCTTTCTGCCTTAATCGCTTCATTTATTTATCCAGCCATTGGCAAACATGTACAGTGCAAATTAGTGATTAGGGACAGCTAAAGAGAATGTATCACCATACTGTAACCAATGAGCCAGTCACTATACAGTATAATGTTATACTGCAAATGAGTTACCTGTAACATGAAAATTAAAATGAAAGAAAGACAGGGTGAACATAAATATATAAATCACTGTCATCTGAAATTGATAACTTAATCGTTGTTTAGATGATGTATACTGTATCCAGTTTTAATTGAATTTGAAAAGGTGTTTTTTTTTTTTAATTAAATTTTACTTGTAAAACAAAATTGTGGTATTCCTAATGTAGAAAATATTACAGGTTTACTTTCATTAATAGTTAAACCCTTGTTTCAGATATGCTGGTCCCATATAAAATTATCGTGACCCCAGAATCACATAATCTTTTGCTAATCATTAACTTGTCCTGGATTCATCAACTGTAGCATTGACCAATGGTAGTAAATTTGTTGGTTTTTATTTCAGTTTTTAAGGTTTCATATACATGGAGTTGGTGTATAATTTTGACTGAAGAACAGGATTCCAAATTGAGAAATAGAGGAAACCAAAACAACCGTTTTAAAGGTAATAAAAAAATTTGGTAAATATATAAATATAAATAATGTATAAGTATTGAACTATTTTTATGTGATATGATAAAATAGCCCATCAATTGTTCTTACCACCTTTATTTTCATATATTTTTTAATTTTAAACAATTATTTCATATTTTCCTAAAAAACGTACAGATAAGGACCATTTTATTATAAAATGGAAAATGAAAAAACAAATATTTATATTAATATAAATGTTTTAAGTTTTTCCCCTTACGATTAGGTGAATATTTATACTACAACTTGCGATATAATTGTGTGTACAGTATCAGCACCTGTATTGTTTGCTTGTGTGTATTTGTAATGTGTTTTTTGTGCTTGCCCCACAGCAATATCAATGCTGCCCTCTGCCTAGAGAGTTGGTTGGTATTCCTGGCAAGCTCTCATTTAGAATGGCATGCATGCTCTTATGCCTACCCTGCATATATTAGGCCAAATAAAATAAATTGTTTGTTTGCCCTTTTTTTTTTTTTTTATTTATTTTTTTTTTTTTTGGTTATATGAATAATATTGTGCATGTTAAATGCATTGATTATTTCATCCAGCTGAGATAATAGTGTTTTAATGTATAGTAAAATCATACAAATTACCATAAATGGGAATATTTATTTGATAATATTGTCATTTTGTTACTGAGTCTACAATGTAATGTTTATTATTGCTATGCAAATTATGAAGCTAGTACGGTGCTTTTCATCTAATTTGTGTATAATTTTTGGTAGATAATATCATGAATTTAAACAAATACATTATTTCTAAGGAATGTTGTCAATATTGTTATACCCATTGAGATCATTGACAGCTGATCATTAATGATACTGTGGTGTGTGCAAAGTACATTAAAAGCCATTTAACGTTAGATAATGTTCAACATGATACTGATATACGTCAGTAGGTCATGGTGATAATGACTTTGTTTACATTATACGGATGTGCTCTAAGAAAGAAAAGCAATTTTGAATATCCGTATCAATATTAGATACTGTAGTCAATTACTTATAGTAACACTAACAATTGTTTAATGTGCAATGATACTACAGTACGGTATGTTAAAAAATTAAAGATTATTTTTTCATAGCGCCAGGAAAAGATCCAACATTAAATGCTTTAATTTATTTTTCTGTAAATAATATACATGGCGAGACGCGTCTTTCAGCTATTCAGGCCATTTGGAAAGTTTCAGGTTGTGAATAAACAGTAACTAGCTATATCAATGTAATATGGACAATAGCAGACATGCAGGGTATGGTTACCTGATTGTCCTGGATTTAGAAAAATACACTCTTCACTCAAACCCTTTAAGATAAAAGATAATCAACATTTTATCAACACAGTAAACATTTAGCCTTTAGAGGTGAATGATCTGATAGAGTAATATACAGTAGTTCATCTGTGTTGATAATAATAATTGGAATTTTGAACTTGGAATGCTATTTGGATTGAAAGATATTCGTAACTTTTAATTTTTGAAGCTAATATAGCGTGCAGTGTTTAAACACTGGGTTTAAATATTTCCATGTTGAGCCAATTGTTAATGCAGATAGGTTGAAGTTGAAGAACACTGAGTACAGGTAGATACTGTACCTTTAAATTAAATATTTCCATGATGAGCTATTGTTCTTGATATGCAGGTAGGATGATCATGTTGATGAATCTTGGTAATGAACAACCTGCCCTGACCCTAAATAACCTCTTGAGTTTAATGGAATTATTTCAGCATTCCTTCAAAGTATCAGGATGATTTAAAGTGAACTAATCTAGTAATTACAACCCCCAATGGTATGGTATGCATCTCATTAGGATTCTTAAACCAGGTTGTTTATGGAGTATAATAGGACAAGGAGCTAATGAGAATGTTTATGGAAGATCATCTGAAGCGTGTTTAATAGGGTTGAGAGGGAACCGTGTACCATAGTTCCCCCGGGTAAAGTCCCACCTCGGGTATTGTCCCACCCAAACATTGCGCCCAACTTCGCGTACAAGCATTTCCCCGTGTAAAGTCCAAGTGTATAATTTTTGCGAGTAGGCCTATTTAGGCCTAGGTCAGTGAATTTTAAAGCACATCCTTGTAAATTATTGTTGTTTACTAACAGCTTGCTAACTGCAGCTAAGAATAGACACCACAGTCCATCCCTAAAGAGACCAGCCCTACGCAAAGTAAGACCAAGATATGGTACACAGGACCAACGGCTTAAACATCTCATATGAAAGACGATGTGCTATCGTAACTTGTACAGTCCTCTAGCTGAAACACAATGAGATTGGGAATGGGAATTGAACCAGGGAACTAGAGATCAGTGGCTTTAACCAGTTTACAGTGTTCTTCCAATTGAATATAATCATATAATAAAGCCAGCTAAGCGTGTGCAATGTGAGGTATTGCCTGGACTGGAAAGATGTTCATTTATTGAAAGAAGACCAGCCTAGACTACCTAGCCCTAATAAAAGTGTTTTTTTTTTTTTATTCTGACACAATTTTTACCGGTTGGTCATTTATTTTTACTGGTAAACTTGACGGCTAAAACGTCTTCGGGAGAATACTGAGTTTAGCTGTCTGAGATAAGCTGCTGTCTCTCATTGTTATTGTGTACTCTTTCAAGTAAAGAAAAGTGGTTGAAGAAAACTATTTGTACTGAAAATAATATTAAATAATGAACTGACTCACTGATAAAGTTCATTCACGGTGTGTCAATGTACAGTATGCTAACATCAGGAATTAAGTGTTATCTTATCCATTTGTAATGTTTTGATAGTTAATAAGCCCATTAATCAACGTGAGTCACACTAGGTGATAATGAAATTATTGATGCCTCCACCATTTACACACCTCAGTATTACAGTATTAAACAGTGCTCCAGATATGCCACATTCCAAGCCTACACACACTGTTATAAAAATGTGCATTTTATTTTGTACATAAAGGAGAAATGTGACTCATATAATGGAGTTATAATAGTGCAAATGGTTTGTGTTATGTTGATTAATGATTAGTACTGTATGTTAATCATAGAGTAAAGATGCATAGCTACAATACTGACATTTTTTAGCATCAGGTTTGGATATCTTCATTGACTTTTTTAAATATATATTTTTTAATATAATAATATGCCATCATGATCTATTGTTCAAAGAGATCCATGTCTTAGTGTCTAACTGACCTACAGTAAGAAATAGTTTTACTAATTATAATTGTACAACTGCCAAACTCTTAGTTGTAAATTATCTGTAGGCCTAACTGTTGTCTGTTGATCCCTACAGGAACATGTTAACCAAAGTAGGGTTTAATTGCTTGGAAGTAGCTAGCCAACATTGGCATTCATTGGAGGGAGGCCATTGTCCCAAGACAATCCAGGCTTTTATACAGGGTTAATACTCTTCTGGGTGTTTGCCAATGGGATTTTAAGCTTTTCTCAGCCAAAGTAATATTACCATTCCAGGATGCTTCTGGGCAGGTAATATTCTTTCGGAAGTGTTCTGTCTATTTTACACAATCAGGAAGCCCTATTCTATAGCATAGCAGTTTGAATAAGGCTGTGAGATTTCTGAGAACAATCTGCAAAAACTGGGTATTTCTGAACATCACCAGCTTAGAGCCAAATCACTTAATAGTTGCACTGGCTCAGGACAACCTGTGTAAACAATAAATATATTTTAAGCCAGCCCAAGGCCGACCTAAATTTCGTCCGACTACAGAGCCGACTCAGGTCTTGCAATGCGGGACCTGGACCAACTCGTCTTCACATCTGAACATAGAATACCGAACCTGGGTCGCCATGGTTGCTATGGTAGTGGTCAATTTTGACATTTTATACCATACTATTTCACGCAAAAACTAAATGCAAAGGAGGAAGTATGAATGTTAACAGTGCGACCCTGAGCCAACACAAAATACTAAGCAAATTTAACGGTTGTTTTCAGTTGGCCAAAGTTAAGTTGGCCGGGGGAGGGGGACGAATTTGTTGATCAACAAGTTAACCAACATACTATAACGCATTTCCACTCGATGTGTGGGTGTGCACTTGCTGCTTGGGCACTCCCCCATTCTCACCTCTACGACATAAGAATGCTAGTATAAAATGTTAAGAAAGAGCCACAGTGGTTCAAAATTCAAATTTTTGGTATAACTCTGGGGAAGGGTGTAGCAGATTGGGGGAGTACTCTCTACCAAAGCCTCCTGTTGCTAAAGCAATTAGGGTCTCAAGCAATCAGCTATGCTGATGAATTTTCATCAAAAATAAGAAAAATGAAAATTAGAAAAATCCTTTGGCCTATGGCTAAAGATAGACCTTGAGTAATAAGGGTTAGGTGATGTCATAATATTATTATGGTCTTATCAGGTGACCCTGATGTTTTTACTAACCTTGAATGACCTTTGGTCTGCAATATGAAGCCTCAGGTGTTATCTTGCAAGTAGGCCTAGTTTTAATGACTGTGGATAGGCTGTTAAGACGCATAAGAAGCTGTGGCTTAGCATCTCATCTGTCGACTAAAGTCAGCCTGAGAATGATTGGCATGTACTGTATGAGATATTGTATGATCCTATTCTGTGGGAACATAATCAGTAATATTTTAAAATCATAATTTAATTTTAAAAAATGGTAATGGTAATTTAAGACAAAAAAAATAATGATTGTAATTAATTATTAATCACAATAACTGATTTAGTAGCAATACCTTATTGTGGTAAATGTTTTAATTAAAGTAAATAAGAAATAAAACTTAGAAGAACAATAATGCTAAAAAAGAATGACTCTTCATGTTGCCATTTTCAAGTTCAATGAATTTTGTACTTTAAAATTGATAAGATAAAGATTGCAAGAAATTCATATCTAACATTTTAAAAGATACCGTACTGTAATTTAAGGAGTTGGAAATTTGGTTAGGAAATGAGATTTGCTTTTAGTTACTTGGTGAGTTCATTGGCTACAACTACAGCCAAACAACTGCATAAAGTATTCCTTGTGGAGTATA